TACAGGTCTAAGAATAATAGACCGTGGAGCCAAAGGAGGAGCGGAGTGACTAGGGTCGAGTAGGGACTGATTATTTATAATCCGATAAAATGAAACGTTCTTATACTTTTCGAAAATACTTACAAATTGTGGTTATTATTACCAGTTATCTTTCTACTGCTCGTCTGTCCGCGGACATCACATCTATGACTCTCGTTCAAAACAAAATTTGGATTTACTAGGACTTATTTTGTTCAAGTGACGTTTATCCATATAACAAACAGTGTCAATATTTAAACGCAAAATACTTCCTCAACTTCATTAGTTATCAAAACAACAAATATGACTGCCCAAGAGTCTTCAGCAACAATACCTCCTCAGGACACTGAGAATGAAGATGATATTTTGGCAAAACGATTTAAAGGTCTGGAAAAAAATATATGGTACGAATATCAATAATAAAATTTGTTTATTATTAAACATGACCACTAATTATAAATTCGATAAGAAGACAATGAGTTTTTATCTATAGTTATTGTTTGTCGTTTATCTTTTCCAGGATTGAATTCACCACTTTAGCCCTAACCCATAATGCTGTTAACTTAGGTTAATTATTTTTAGTTTTCATTACTTTAACAAAGGAATGCTTTACGATTTTTTATTTTAGGCCAAGGATTCATTGATTATGCACCACCACAGTATGTGATAGACTCTTATCGTCAAACTGCCGATGATCCAAATATACTTCTTTATCAATATACCCGCGGATTTGTAAGTTCACTAAAACATCTTGTTTTCTTTTAAAATACAGCATATTTTTTCATCATTAAGGGTCACCGTCGTTTAGTAAATGCTATTGCTCAAGTATATTCAAAATATTTTTTTCGTGAATTGGATCCACTAAATCAAATACTTGTAACATCTGGTGCATATCCGTCATTATTTAATGCTATCAATGGGTTCTTGAATCCGGGAGATGAAGTATGTTTTGAAACTCGTATTTATCTTTCTAATGAGTTTTTGAAAAAGTTGCAAAAAATATAGTCGGCGTCTTAATTGATTGTACGGTTATAAGTTATATTTATCCCAGTGTTGAATGAAAGAAGGGGCGCTGTCGTCTTCCTCTTCTTCTGTTCAAAAAATGTTTCAAGTTTTCCCAGAAGAACTGCGAAAAACTAACGATCTTCAGACGGATTCTGAGGGACTTTTTTCCAAACGAGTGTCTCTTCTCATGTATCGTCCTTTTCCCAAAAGATACTGGATCAAGCACTGATTTCCCTCTCCCTTTTTGCTAGTAAGCAATCCGTTTCTAACGGGAATCGTGTTTGAGGAGGATTCGTCAAAAACATAGGATTTTAAGCTTGATTACTTCATGTAAATCTCACTGTGAAGTGAATTTTTATTAAATTGCAAATAATAACTGCAAAATTTCTACTGGAATGATTAGTGTAAAATTGATTGATTCCACAGTGTAAAATTCCACAATAACGAAAATTACTATTGGAAACAGTAACTGGCGGCACGTACCACATGTTAGCCGGATAAATCACTGCTGCCAAGGACGAGAAGTCATTTATAATGCGACACAAGAAAAGATGAAACCTAAAGTAAAATCGATGAACGCATGAAAGGAAGAGAGCTAGAAAGAAACCATTTTTTGCTCTCCAACATTTCTAATCAAGTAATTTAGTAATTCATACTATAGGATAATAGGAGATGCCGCTAAAAATACAAAAATAGAATAAAGAGAGAAAATTTAAGCGCAGAACATGACAGAATATGTAGATCTCGAAGTAAAAAGAAAAAAACACATAAAAATATGTGAAATTCAGCATCTCGTCCTCCATATTTTTTTTGAAAAATCCATCAGTTCTAGCGTAGCACTTTTCTTTGCATATGGAAGAGACAGGTCTACTGCACCCAAAGGTTTTTAGTTGAGAATTTATTCAATTAACTTTTTTTAAATCAAGAGATTTTAGTGTTTCTTTGCGCTTTTTCAAAACAAAGCAACTATATATGAAATAAAACGTGTTTTTAAGATAATTGTATTTAAACGTGTTCATATTTTACAAGTAATGCTCGTTGAAACTCTCTGAATTCCTTGACTGTAACTGGTAGAATGCCCAGACAGTTTTCTGAAGAATATTCAGTAGGTATATTCGTTTCTCAAATTAGAATCACGATTCTGGTTCCAAGCTTAAAATAGAAGCGTGGGTCTTGACTCTCAGCTTAGAATCGAAAAATAATTTTTAGGCGGTGTAACGATCCAACGAAACAGAATACATTTTTCTGAAAATGAAAGGATTTTTTAAAACATTGACAGACAAATATGTCTTCCGATTAGAGCAAATTATTATTATTTTGCTTTTTCTTGTTCACTTAATACACAGATATAACATTACGACAACGTTCTCCTATCTCACGTGAAAGAAGTCAGAAATATGCCTCATAACTGATTTATTAAAACATAACTCCAGCATCTGTGTTTAAAAGAAGTTCCGAATAATCGGAATCGGGTGAAAACCCGCGGTTCCAATTTCGGATGAAGAACCGAAAATAAGAAAATAGTAGATCAGTTTCTCATACGGAACCGAAACACGATTCCAGTTCTTACTGGGAATCAAGACCCGAACATTTTTAATGCGCAGAGATCAGATCTATTTTTTTAAGCTGAACTGACTCAGAAATCGAGGTGGTCAGTACTCGATAATCTAATATTTGAAATTCCAGATGAAGTGTGTGTTATTTATGCGAAGAAAGTCGTGAACAAGATTTACTTTTTTCTAAAAAGCACATCTATCCAGGATTATATCAACTTCCTCTAAAATATCTAACGGTGCCTGCGACATCGGCTTCTGTCGAACGCATTTTCTCGCAAAGTGGTTTTCTGATGAGACCACATCGAGCATCATGAACGGCAAAGAATGTGTGTCTACTAACTTTTCTAAAATGTAACAAAGTTTTACTTTGATTCCATTTACTTGAAGGTTGATAATACAATAAATTAAAAAAATGTTTTAACATTTCGCTTTGTCAATATTTTGTTCTGACCTATATATCAAATAATAAGAGACTAATTAAGAGAATAACTAAAGAGCTATTAGGACTTTTTTTCCCACAAATTATTTTAGACATTCATAGTCATACCTGGTTCAATGGTATCTGTATTTAAAAAATTGGTGCTTGTATTTGTACTCGTCTCATACTCGAAGGCTCGGTACTCGTACTCCACTCGTACTCGAGAAATCCCGTACTTGCCCAGCTCTGGTCTCAGACACATATCTTTTTCCGAAAAGACGATAAATTGACAGAAAAACATGGATTAAATAATATAAGATTGTTTCTTTACTGTTTAGATTATTCTAATTGAACCATTCTTCGACTGCTACGAACCCATGATAAAATCAACCGGTGGCATCCCTCGCTGTATTGCTCTGAAACCGGTCGGTTTACTTTTTTTTGTATTATTAAATAAACAAGATTGATTATTTCTTTGTTTTTAGAAATCAAGCTCGACTAATGTAGAAGTGTCTAGCAGTTCGGATTGGGTTTGGGATGATAATGAACTGGAATCGATGTTCAACAAAAAAACCAAAGCAATTATTATTAATTCACCGAATAATCCACTCGGAAAAGTACGATTTTCTTTGATATCTTTTCAAACACATCAACTTGTAGGATTGTTCACGTTTTCGCCTCACATATAATTCTCGTATTTGTTATAAGAAAATATTTGAGGAGACTTTTTATTTTGAAAAAAATATTTCATTTAACAAGATAAATTTAATATTTGTTAAGCTGTATTATCATTTCTTTTGTTTTGTTTTAGGTATACACTCGTCAAGAGTTAGAAAAAATTGCTAGTCTATGCCAAAAACATAATGTGTATTGTATATCAGACGAAGTTTACGAATGGATAGTATATCCGGGACATGAACATATTCGTAAATATTCCTACTTTCATATACTTAAAACATAAATATTAAAATAATTCTCTATTTTTGAAGGTATGGCTACATTACCAAACATGTGGGAACGAACATTAACAATTGGTAGTGCGGGAAAGACGTTTAGTTCAACAGGTTTTAAATGTGGATGGACCATAGGACCCGAAAAATTGATACGAGTATGCCAAATAGTACATCAGGTAAATAGATCGAGTTGTAATAGTGGATGATCTATATAGAATAAGTCTAGTGCTAATTTGTTTTCATTTTCTTTTTTGTCTCTAGAATTGTGTGTACACAAGTCCTACATTTCCACAAGATATTGTGGCCCGTTGTTTTGAACATGAACTAAAACGTTTAGATTCACCCGACTGTTATTTTAATTCAATATCTAGTGAATTGATTAAAAAACGCGATCGAATTGTTCAAGCTTTAAAAGAGTGTGGAATGAAACCAATCGTACCAGATGGAGGCTATTTTATTCTGGCAGATTGGACAAAATTTGATAGTAAGTTATCCAATTTCTTTTTTTGATTAAATAATAACAGTTTTAATTGTAAAATTTAAGATGGTAGTTTTGAATCGGACAATGAAGAATTGAAAGATTTTAAATTTGTCAAATATTTAACAACAGAAAAGGTAAGAAGTAATCGTAGAGGAATAAATGTAAAATGACATTACCTTTTGCATTGGATTGTATAGCAATTTGCCACAATTCCACCATCTGCTTTTTATACAAAAGATCACGGATCAATGGCTGTAAAGTATATTCGATTATGTTTTGCCAAAGTATGTTTTCATTTTTTTTCTATCTTCATTGTTTTATGAATCCAATTTTCTTTTTAGAAAGATGAAACTCTCGAAAAAGCAATAAAAATTTTGAAAAGTTTGTAAAAAGAGTAATGGAACAAATTATTTGTAAGGTGTTTTAAGGCAACTAAGTTTATTTAACAATCAAAAGTGATAGCATTTATTGTGATTTAATATCGTAATTTTTTTATTCTATTTTACAATTATAACTTAGTTTTCATGTTAACATTTTATATGAAACCTTTTTTAAAAAATAGAAAGTTGATGGTTTTGGAATGACGTTCATACACATACAGGTTAGAATTTAAAAAGAATATTAGATTACAATTACAAATTGTTTGTAATTCGTAAACTAATTGAAATAAGTCAGACGTTTGAATTTATTAGCTAAATTTTCACCAATAGCACAATAAATTAAGAAAACAAAATCTAAAACGTCTGATTTATTTCAAGTAGTCTACGAATAATAAAAAATTTGTAATTGTAATTGAATATTTTTTTTAAAATAGAAAGTTAAGATATTTAGTATGATTTTTTTATGAGGATAATGAAATGAGTTAAGTTTATTTGACAGAAAAACAGTTTTTTTCTCTGAAAGAAAAGGTCTCTTAAAGTATCTCTCTTATAAAATCCTACATAATTTCAATTTGAGCGTGAGGACCTTTAGTATGAAAGTTCAGAACATGGTGGTTTGTTTAGCGACAAAGCTTTGGATAAACAAGCAAACAGAAAAAGTATGTCTCGACTAGGAATCGAATTTAAGATATCAGTTATCAGTTAAGATCAATGGTCTAACTACTGAGCTGTAGTAGCTACTACATTATACACGTCTATAACTAAGATCATTCAGAAGAAGAAGCATATCAAAGACGTGATGGCTCAGCGGTTAGACCATTGGTCTTGATAACTGATATCTTAAATTCGATTCCTAGTCGAGACATACTTTTTCTGTTTGTTTGTTTATCGAGAGCTTTGTCGCTAAATAACACCATGTTCTTAAAATCCTATTTAAATAAATTGCGTAATCATAGCGTCTTGAAAAATATACTAAAAGAGGTCGATTACAGTTGATGTTTCTTAATTTAAGAGACTTTTTAATCGTACAGTGTAGATCTTGATATTCTGAAGTACTTTGGATCGATGACAAAGTTATGAACTTTTTAAAATTGTATAGCAACTTTCGGAACATTGACTTGAATATCGGGAGATCTCTTCCAAAAAACCAACCTTCACGAAGGATTTTGAAAATTTTCCTTTATACAACAAAGAATGTGCTCCAATCTTGGTTATTGAATGGCGGAATTGGATGTTTTTATCTTTTTTCTTTCAACGTTATTCAAAAGACAGTATGTACTTCTTAATTTCAAATGGACAGTAATAACATTTAGAGTATGGATTGGATGTATAAACCATTAGTGATGCATTTGTCGTCTGGAAGAAACTTAACTGAGGGGTCATACATTGGACTTATTTTTAAAACTTCATAGAAACTTTATTAGTTTTTACGAAAAAAATACATGAGATCACAGTATTGTCGCTGAGAAGAAAAACCTAATTAAGATAGTTGTTAATGAAGTATCTCAATATTCAAGATATTTTTATTGTGTCAAATCCTTTTTTGTAATAAAATGAAGATAATATCCTTCGGTTCTAATTCTAATAGTTATATGTTTCATCGTCCATGTTGATAATTTGATAAATTTGACAATAAATGTTTATTACTTTTGTCAAAATGAAACCATTCAGCCACTTGTGAAAAATTTGATGGATCATGTGTATCGTAAAACCAACATAGCGATTTAATCATTTGATTACCGTACATGCTTGGTTGATAAGTGTCATTAATCGGTAAAAGTTGAAGATTAGTGGTTGGAAATTTTTTTCTTGTCATATATCTCACAAGATCTATTGTTTGTATTGTGTCATTTATACTCCATAACATGTATAGCTTTGGAAACTGTCCAGATAGTAAATTACTTATGGAAGTTGAAGTATTTTTTGATGATTTATTTACGCTAGATTTTGGTGTATCGAAAATTGGAGATTTAACCATATCTTCTAATAGTTCATTGTCTGATTCACCGTTTTTATTATTCAATATATTACTGAAACATGCAAATTTTCCAATTATTCGATAATATTTTGTAAAAGCATGAAGGACCATACTGCCACTTGTCTTTACACCATAATGGGCAGTATAATCCCATTGACCAATTGTACGAAAAGTTGTATCGATATGCCGTCTAAATGAACCAGTAAATGTTTTTAAATTGTTTATTGAATGACAACCACTTTCTTCCCGACTGACAATATATTCCTGATCAGCTTTATCGGGATCTTTGAGTGATTCAATAGCTACTACAATAAATCCCCATCGTAATGCCGAACATGATGACAAATTAAAATAGGCTTCGTTAAGCAATGTATCAATTTTCCATTCGCTTTCAACATTATGATAATTAAACATCATCTCGCCATGATGCATATAAACAACAGGATATCTTTTTTTATTTATCAGATCATCATGCTGATAATAATCCGGTGGTAAATAAATCCAAATTCGTCGTGTTTCATTGCAATCAATAGTCTTATAATGAGCTCGAAGTAAGAAAATACGATCATATTTTGGATCATATGAACCAGATTCATTTGATTGCGTCCATGGTTGTTCATTTACAAAATCACTCCAACCGCTTATGTTATATTTGAATCGAATAATTGTGTCATGATTGGGAATCTGAAAAAATGTTGATTAGAAATACACTAGCCTCCTAGTCAAACTCTCTTGCAAATTTGTACAGGGTGATCAAAAAAAAACTTACTCTCTGTGTATTTATTGACTTTCTTGTGTACAAATATAATTGAACTTTTTATCATTAGTTTATTCAAATAGAGCAAAGATTTCTGGACAAA